TACTACTAGTAGTAGTAGGTAGTAGGTAGGTAGTAGGTAGGTAGTAGGTAGGCAGTAGGTAGGTAGGTAGGAAGGTAGGTAGTGGTAGTGGTAGTGGTAGCGGTAGCGGTAGCGGTAGCGGTAGCGGTAGCGGTAGGCGTAGGAGTAGGAGTAGGAGTAGTAGTAGTAGTAGTAGTGGTAGTAGTGGTAGTAGTGGTAGTAGTGGTAGTAGTAGTAGTAGTCGTAGTAGTAGTAGTAGCAGTAGTAGTAGTAGCCGACGGTCGTTGATCAGCCGGCTGGCCGGCTGGCTGGCTGATCGAGAAATAGCGGGCCGCGATAAGCTCGCAATGTGACTTTGCTGAACTTGACTTGCGTAATAACTTGCACATGAACTGATGAACTGCAATGAAGCCGGATTCTTCATGATTCTTTAAGATCTTCAAGGGTCTACGACGGTCTACAGAGTCTACGGTACGGTCTACGTTGCTGCGCAAGTGAAAGTCCCCACCTGGAGCTAGCCACCAGAAGGTTCTCCGGCTTTAAGTCCCGATGAATGACACCTGTGGCCCAAACAAACATGACAAGCACTACATGCAGCCTGTGACAGGCTGTGTCCAGTGCAAAGCTATTTTTCAAGAGTCTCTGGGTTTTGTCTGTGCGGTTTTGAAATTTGGCATGCGGGGCTTGTCTGGCCACCTGGAAATAGCGGTGTCTGTAGGATCTAGGACCTTTCTGGATGCCTTCCACTAGAAGAGCCCCACCTCTTGAGTGCATGAAGCCAACGCCCTCTAGAAGCTGCAAGAAAACATGTCCTGGGCTAAGGGGACCAGCGCTGGCTGATCAGATTCAACATTTCAATCGAGCGGGGGCTGATTATGCTGTCTGACGGGCGAAACACTTACACATCAGCTCCAGAATGCAACAGCCCAAACAGTCAGCACTATTCTAGTCAATGATATAACTACTGAAGGTACTTCTCATACCCACGCCAAGCCACGTGCTTCCATCTCGCTCAAAGACTTGTTGCGAACAATGACGTCAAAAAGCTCACCACCCCGAACCAGCTCCATGACCAGGAAATACCAGTTGTCCGTCCTGAAGTCACTGAATGACGAATCGCCCGACTGGAAAGGGTACGAGAGTCAAGGGTGCACGAAATGCCGTCACAGACTGCCAGTTTTAGTTGATAGCGTGAACACGTGAAGCGACCGAATGAAACCCTTGACTCCGATTCAAGCTCTAGTCTTGCCGCAAGGAGCTTGTGAAAGCCTTCGAGATTGACTATTCTCTCCTTGGCGGGCTGTGTGGGTCTCACTAACAATCCCGTGGTGTGATCAAGCGCGTGCAACATCTTTCATGCCTTGAGTGAGCACGACCAATCCTATCAAGACATTTCGAACCTTCCTACCAACGAGGCCCACCGAGCTTCAGTTTGACTTGAAAGTCCAGGTTACGGCTTTGGCACAAACCACTTCAAGGACAAGTTTCATGGCGCAATTCCTTGAGGATCCGAACCTGCAGCAAATTGCAGCAAGGGCCGTGAACTTTCAAAAGATTGAGTGCGATGTGCTCTGGGTGCGGGATGGGTGGTTCCATCATAATGCAGCTTGGCTAGCAAAGGCTTTTCACAACTTTTTCCAAAATTCATGACGGCGGGGGGGATGCCTGTTACATCTTTTGAGGTGAACGCTCAACTCAACCATGACATACACAAGGACAATCAGCTTCGCGGACATCTGTGTCCAACAAGACAACGCTAATTTTTCGTTGATTTTTCTTGCACTCCTATGTTCATGGCCGGCTAATATTCAAATTAAGCGTTAACCATACACCCATGTAATAGCCATATAGTATTTAGGAGCTGATTGATATGCTTGGATGAAATGCAATTATGATGCACTATACAATTTGATGGACAAGAGAACATGGCTATTCGAGACATCTGATGCTGAGTCTTAAAGGAGCGCCACTCCCCTCTCACTAGTCTCTTACAGTTTCGGACCATTGAGATTTGTCTGGAGATTCTGGAGAAAGGTGTGTGGCAAGAACTCTTTTGTCAGCTTTGGCACCGTTGCTTCCCTCAGGAACGCCAAGAAGTCCAGTCACATGCAAATGCCATCTCCCATCAACACCTTGCAAATATATAGAGACACGTAAGGGAAACTCCTGAAAGGAGATGACAGGTGCACACCTCGCAGTCAAGGCGGCTCAGCTGCTCCTGCATATCGCCGAGCAAGCCTCAGATCTTGGCATCCCTCAAGTCTGAGTACTAAGTAGATCTAAGATGATCTATATAAGTAGTACCTTGTTCCACATCATGTGCTGCCTTGTGGGCCTGGACCTGGAGCTGCTTGAGCGTTCATCAACCACGAATCAGCCTTCCTTTGGTAAAGGCCTAGTGCAGTATCGCCCCAACTCCACGAAATTCTCATACATATGTCACATATGTTTTAACGTTTGTGTCATATGCCCGGTGGCACAAGCGTCTCAGGTCGACTGTCTTCACAGCAAACTTCTCCCCATCACGCAGGCGCCTGCCACAGGCCAAAAGATGCAAAACAAATTATGACTCTGTTAAACATCAACTGTGATCAACAAATTTTGGTAGGCGACATGCTCAAACACAAGTTAGCCAGCCAGTTAGTTGTTTCAAGGTCAGCAGTGCTTGTTCAAATATTGCAGGCCCACACTTCCAAGTTTCATGTCGTACCGAGTTACCGTAATTAGCCAAATACAATGCAGGGCAACAAGGCAGCTGACCCTCACCTGCATGCAAAGACTTGGGATGCAGCGCCGTGACCAAGTTGTTTTCCAATCTCGTACCTTGGGCTATGTGAGCGCGGTCCGCGGTATCAGGACTTCTATGCATCTTTCAAGTTCTGGTGCGGCCATGCATATTTCACAACCCTTCCACATGTCATTTCTGCATAGTTGCACTAGCTTCAGCTTGCATTATGGTTCACGGGTGATTTCCTACAATTCTCTGTGGGACCCAACTGCCGTTCCCATTGCCATGACCAATGTGCCCTGACGATTGCAAATGCGGTTGCAACCACTGGCGCCGTTTAAACCCATGGAAGTATACATACAGTATATCGTGGTTGATCCAAAATTCCTTCTTGCTGAACGGCCATTCTTCGACAATAAAAAGTTGACTTCTGCGAGCCTTTCACGAACTCCATGTTTAACTTTCGCGGGGGGTATATCCTCCAAACATCTTCTTGGTTTAGTGGTTTTACATAACAGCCTATATAACCAATTCCATCTGTTTGTTTAGGGATCTGTTCTGCATCCAAACAAACTACCCGGTCTCTTCCTAGGTGGCCGTTTCACCCCGATATGGAACAGCAGCGAGAATTCACATGCAAAAAACAATCCAGGACAATCCGGGCTCCGCGTGTACAAACAAACCCGGTCCCTTGGGCAGGGGTCCACAAAACATCACAAAACAGGCCTTCACATTCGCCTATGCTTTCGCGGAACTTTCGCGAATCTTTCGCCAAAAATGTCGAGTCATTGGTGGGTTTCTAGGCCCAACGCGAAACAACAAAGGAGTTACTATACAGCCAAGGGATTATGCGTCGCAAGTGTGAGCTGTATATTGCGCAATGTAAAGGCTTGTGAATGTGCCACCGATGACTGACTGTGCCTAGGAGCATGGCCAAGCCAATTCACCAATGTGAGTGAGCTACTTAGAAGCCTAAAGACTGCATCGAAAGTCAGGAATGAAGGCTCCTCCTGGACTCCTGAGTGAAGGAAGTATGAAGTATACATATATAGTTCTAACATATATAGGATCTTTCGAAGATCTTTCGCGAATAAACAATTTACTTTCGCGAACTCAAGAAAAACTTTCGCTGACAACGCCCTCAGTGACATAGGCCTTATGTCGACCTTTCAATCGACTACCAGAAATATATAACTGTATATTATATATATTAAATAGCAACAATACCCTCCTGCAGCCTGCGACTCCTCCTCCAGGCTGCTGGTCATCCTCAGGCCCAAATCGTGCGCCAGGGGCTACTTCTGCCGCCGCATCAGCAGCATGGCCAGCTGACATTAGCAATCTGCCGTGGCTGAGGTCTTAAACAGGAGTGAGCTTCTTAAACAATCCTCTTTTCTCTCATTCTTCATCACCTTGCAGTCTTAGACCGCTTTACACTCACTGCAGCGTTAGACACAAACACACTGCAAACCAACTCCGGCGTATTTATATAGTTCTTTTCCCAGCTCACACCATGGACACCCTGCCTCTGCACAAAGGCGCACAAATGCAGCTCGTCTGCACCAGCGATTCAGACCGTGAATAGTCCTGAGTGGGGACCTTGCTATCCCAGCAGAACACGTAAGGCCCCAAGGAGTCAATTGTTTTGGGATTCAAGCCAGAAGCTGTGGATTGGGCACATTCACCATTGCGAGGGGCACTCCCCCATCCAATTCTTAAAACAAGAACTACAAAAGTTGTGGCAACATGCGGCAGCTGTCCTGCGTGCTGAACTGGCAAGCGACAAACGGTTCAGTTGCGCGGGATCTGTATTGTTGCCCGGCTCAGGCCGAAATGTCTTTTTGTGGTCTGAACTCGTGAAGCTTGTGACGCTTCAACAGGCTACACTTTGGGATCTCCAGATCCTGTATGAAGGCAGTCATCTTGATATTAAATAAGCCCAGCTAGTAGTCTGTGCAGTGTTTGCCTCCAGTTTGTCATGACAAATGCCCAAGGGGACATTTTGTGCCGGGCAGTGGGTCAGCGGCGTTGCTTAAGCCAAAAACACTGCTGCCAAGGAAGGAGCTCAAATCTTGTTCCATTGTTCCAATGTCGACCGCGCACAAGCCTGATCAACATCCTACAAGCATCCAAGCAGCTCATCTCTTTCGGCATTGTGCTGGAGGCCACGGCAAAAGCAGTTCAACTCTCTGACACAATTCTGATAGTCTGATCCCTAAAAACGCCATATTCCATGATTGCAAATCTTGCAGTAAGAAAACCAAGTCCCGACATGGGCAATATGCCAAAACTCAAGGACTGAGACCACGAAAACAACACGGTGAACTTTTGCGCCCGGAAGGTCGCCAGGCTCCAAGTTTTCCTGGAGTTGACACGAGCTGACTGACTCACCTAACGTTATGGTTGCTAATGCTGGCCAGTGCCATAACGGCCCCGCTGTTTTTAGGGTATTTCATGGGTCTGAGTCCGCCTACATACTTGCTACCCCCCCCCCGAAGACATTTACGACATTGGTACTTCATACAAAACACACCCGGCGGGTTGACATGGGGTGGGGGGATGGTGTGGGGCTGGGACAATGGCCATACGCATATGTTTCAGCATACGGGTTGAACACCGAAGATATATGGGGTGGAGTGGGCTGGCGTAATGACACTTGATTACGCATCGGGTGGGGTGTGGGGTAATGACGTTCGTGTCAACTTGCGCACGCACTTCCTTTCTATCTTCGCCTTGCAGCCCATCAAACACGAATCAGACAAAAAACACCTCTTCGAGAAACCTCTTGAGCACAGCATGACACTGTGATTCCTGTTGAGATGTTACCCGAGAAAACACCAGTGCGAAGATACCAAAAAAAATTACTTTACTTCGAAATTCCCCACCCTCAAAGAATTGGTCTTCACAAGAGAAAAGCGGTTCGGCGCGAAAAGGATTCTTTATTGAAAACAAAACCACACATCGAATACTTACTTGTGAGGTTTCTGAACTTCGATATTTTAATGCCTGGCAACCCCACATCCCTGCCAAGTCAACTTGTGGTGGATATGCTGTGGAACTGGTACTTGAGAGCACTCTGGTGAATGTGCTGGTGTAAAGGCTACGCTGGGCTACTCGGGGCCACTCTGGTGGATGTGCTGTGTAAGGGCTACTCTGGGCCACTGTGGGCCACTCTGGTGGATGTGCTGTGTTCTTTGGGTTGCTCTGAGCTACGCTGGGACCACTCTGGTGGATGTGCAGAAGTAGCGAGTCTACTGAAGTCCAAAGTTCTTAAAATCTAACAGCCCCACAGTCCTACGGGTGGGGAAAAAACTGCTTTGATAAGTACAATACAAGTCTACAACTAGCCTGCGATCTCTTTGGTAAATGTGCTGTGGAGAAGCTAAGTTGCGCTACTAAAAACTGTGGTTGCTGTGGACAAGCTAAGTTGAACTACTTAGAAATCAGTTTGTGAATGTGCTGTGGAAGAGCTAGGCAGCTAGGTTTAGCTACTCAGGGATCAGTTTGGTGAATGTGGTGTGAATACTCAGAGGTCATGTTGGTGAATGTGCTGTGGAAGTGCTACGTTGAATTACTCAGGGATTACTTTGGTGAACAGGGATCAGTTTGGCGAGCGTGCTGTGAAAGAGCCACTTTGGGCTACTCAGAGATCACCTTGGTGAACGTGCTGTGGAAAAGCTAGCTTGAATACTCAGGGATCACTCTGGGGAACGTCCTGTGGAAGAGCTACTTTGGGCTACTCCGGGATCTCTTTGGTGAACATGCTGTGGAAGTGCTGCGTTGAACTACTCAGGGATCAAATTGGTGAGTGTGCTATGGAAGAACAGCTTTGGGCTACTCAGGGATTACTTTGGCGAGTGTGGTGTGGAAGAGCTAAGTTGCGCTACTCAGGGGCCACTTTGGCCAGTGTGCTGTGGAAGAG